AACAATTGGTCTTTAAAGACAATTGGACGTAACAGACATACACAGAACATTCTACCCATCAAAAGCAACATACACATTTTTCTCAAGTGCACATGGAACATTCTCCAGGAGAGGCCGTATGTTAAGCTACAATACAAGTCTTAATACATTTTAAAAGACTGAAAGCACACACAGTTTCTTTTCTGATCCCAAGGAATGAAACTAAAAATCAACAGCTGAAGGAAAAACCGAAAAATTCACAAATACGTAGAAATTAAACAACATATCCTTAAACACAACCAACAGGTCAAAGAAAAAATCACAAGGGAAATTAGAAAATATCTTGAGACAAATTAAAATGCAAACACAACATACCAAAACTAATGGGATGCAACAAAAGCAGTTTGTTAGTACCATCAAGTTGATTCCAACTCCTAATGACCCTGCAGACAGCAGAGTGGAACCCTTTCCGGTCTTTTTACTCCATCCTCTCACCTTCCAGAGCTATAGCAGACATGCTCCACTGCGATTCATAGGGTTTTCATGGCCAATTTTTTTCAGAAGTGGGTGGCCAGGTCCTTCTTCCTAGTCTGTCTTAGTCTGGAAGCTCCGCTGAAACCTGTCAACCATGGGTGACCCTGCTGGTATTTGAAATCCTGGTGGCATAGCTTTCAGCATCACAGCAACACACAGCCACCACAGTATGACAACCAACAGCCGGATGGTGTGGTTCCCTGACCCAGAAACAAACCCAGGCCACAACAGTGAGAGCACTAAATCTTAACCACTAGATCCCCAGGGCTGGCTAACAAAAGCAGTACTAAGAGGGAAATTTATAGCTATACACATTCACATTAAAAAAGAAAGGTCTCAAATCAACAATGTAACTTTACACCTTAAGGAATCAGAAAAAGAAAAACAAACTAAACTGAAAGCTCACAGGACAAAGGAAATAATAAAGATTAGAGCAGAGATAAATAACATAGAGAACAGAAAAATAATAGAGAAAATCAACGAAATCAAGAGTTTGTTCTTCAAATGATTAACAAATTGACAAACTTTTAGCTTGACTAAGAGAAAAAAGAGAGAAGACTCAAATTACTAAAATCAGAAATGTAAGTGGTGACATTACTACTGATTCTATATAAATAAAAAGGACTATAAAAGAGTACTATAGGGCTGGCCCCGTGGCTTAGCAGTTAAGTGCGTGCGCTCCGCTGCTGGCGGCCCGGGTTCGGATCCCAGGCGCGCACCAACGCACTGCTTCTCCGGCCATGCTGAGGCCACGTGCCACATACAGCAACTAGAAGGATGTGCAACTATGACATAGAACTACCTACTGGGGCTTTGGGGTAAAAAAAGGAGGAGGATTGGCAATAGATGTTAGCTCAGAGCCGGTCTTCCTCAGCAAAAAGAGGAGGATTAGCATGGATGTTAGCTCAGGGCTGATCTTCCTCACAAAAAAAAATCATAATAAAAAAATAAAATAATAAAATAAAAGAGTACTATAAACTATTGTATGCCAACAACTTGGACAACCTAGATGAAATGGAAAAATTCCTAGAAACACACAACCTACCAAGACTGAATCACGGAGAAACAGAAAATTTGAATAGATCTCTAACTAGTAAGGAGATTGCATTAGTAATCAAAAACCTTCCAACAATGAAAAGTCCAGGGCCAGATGGCTTCCCTGGTGAATTCCACCAAACACTTAAAGCAGAATTAACACCAATCCTTCTCAAAATCTTCCAAAAATGGAAGAGGAGGGGACACTTCCTAACTCATTCTATGAGGCCAGCATTACCCGGATATCAAATTTTAGTGTGGAAGGCTGTTTAAAACACAGTTTCTGATTCAGTGGGTCTGGGGTAAGGCCTGAGAATCTGCATTTCTAACAAGTTCCCAGGTGATGCTGATGCTGCAGGGACCACACTTGAAGAACTATTGCTTTGTGGGTACCTCTCATAATGCTAAGACCCTTATGCATGTGTGTCACCTCACAGGGCCTTGTGTCACCTCACGTCTCTCAAGGGTAGCACACAGTCAGTCATCTCATCAGGGCCCAAAGCCCCCACTTAGCAAGAGGCAGGTGCCCATGATGCCACATCTCTTGGCCAGACTTTCTGAGGGTGCCAACATCCTGATAGTAGCACTTTATGTTTCCACTTTACTAAGCACTTTATATACATTATCTTATTTCACTCTTCTGAGGACATCAGGGCTTGAGGGATAGGCCCAGGGTCACACAGCTAACAAAGAGAAGAGCTGGGATGAAAACCTCAGTCCTCTAATTCTGAGCCCATGATTCCTTCCATTAGATCTCAGCCCACTGGACAGATGAGATGATACAGCGTGTGTGCTGGAATCACCCGGGAAGAGCATCACCACAGATAGGTGCTGGAATCAACCCCCCTACCCCCACAACCACCAGTCTGAGTCCACAGACTTTGGTGGGGCTCAGGTGCTATGCTCTGAAAACGCTCCCCAGACGGACCTACTGCACAGACCGTTAAAGCCCACTGCTTCGACGGTGGGCAGACACAAGAGAGACAGAGACTTACACGCGTATACACGAGGCCAATCCAGCGTGGGCCAAAATACTCAGCAGTATCAACAATGGAGCCTGATCGCCACCACAACCCCATTCTGGTTACCTCCCTGACAGTGAGCTTCATCCAGACTTCACAAACACACACTGTGCAACCCAGCTTAACCTAGGGTCACTTAAATACAAATTCATTCCACAGGGAACCAAGAATGGTAATAAATGAGACTAACTCCATCTTGTTCCAATTATAGATCAAATCATAATCCAAGTCCTGCCACACTCCCCTGGTCATTTAGAGGGGCATGAAAAGCCTCATTTTCACATAATAGCTATTTCCTAGAAATGCCAGTTTTATACTCTTTCCAAGGGAGTGGCTGGCAAAAGAAGCCCTAACTGATGTTTAAGAGCTTTTATGTT